GGGGGGAAGGGAGGAGAATCTCCTGGCTGCTCTGAGGCTGGGCACTGGTGCTGCTGGGGCAGTACTGCCTGGGGCCTGCCATCCCTCATGTGCCCAGAACCGTTGGTAGGAGCTGGCCAGCTAGAGCCGTGAGAGCGGGAGGCCTGGAAGGGGTTGTAGCATGGACAGCCTCTGCCACTGCCCCCTGGGGAGGGAGGGAGCCAAGCAGTTCCCTTTTCCCATAGCCCTGGAGCAAGTGAATTTCCGGAATGGGGGTGGTGGGGGCGGGGAGTCCTATCCCAGGAAACAGATGGGCAGCCTCAGAGCGGAGGGAAATGGCAACTCTACCGCTTCCTGCCATCCCACACAGCCAGCATTATAGGGATGTGAGGAAAGGGTTCCCTGAAGCGGGGAGGCTCTCTGGCCCACCCCAGGCCTTTTAGCCTGCCTGTTGCAGGGACAGGCTGTATCTGGAACAGGACTTGTCTCTCTCTCTCTGGCTGGATTTGAAGCCTGAAGTCAGGCAGCCAGAGGCCACTGACCTGAGAGGGAGGACTCCCTGACTTAGCCTCTTGGAGCCTGCCTTTCTCGTTTTAAAATGAGGTTGATTACTGCCACCCATCCCCTCAGGCTCTTATCAAGGCTGGGGGAGGGAGACACAGATGAAACGGTTTGTCATCTTGTACCAACAACTAGGTGTGCCTCCTGGCACACGGAAGCACTTAACAGTATTTGTTTCCTGTCCTTCACCCGTTCCCTTGTTGTCATGTCCTTTGGGCCAGCCACGTGATGTGAGGTGTTGAGTTGGCGAGACAGCTCATGTGGCAAAAGCCATGGAGCCACAGTCCATCTGCTTATGTGGAGGGGCCCGCTTCCTTCTCACCTCTTGGCCCTCTCATCCTGCAGGGAGATGGCTCACCAAAGAGCCTGGGTTTGCTCGGTGGGGTCCTTGTGAGGTTTGGTAACCAAGATGGATCCCTGGCTTGCCTTGTGTTGGCCCCGAGGCAGTGGCCTTTCCCCTAGCCCTTCCCCACATTCCCTGATGGTACTGCTCTCCCCATTGCCCCCTCTCTGGGTCACCCTCAGGAGCAGTGTCTGTCCTCTGGAGCAGTCATTCTTAGCTCTTTGCCTGCTAAGTCATGGGTTCATACGAGCTCCCTTAGGCATACCGAGGTTTTGACTAGCAAACGAGCAGCAGGGGTATGGGCTGCAGGGGCCCGGGTGATTCTACAGACCAGAACTACTCCTGATTCACCAGTGTGTCCAGGCATCCCAGGGGAGCCACCGACCTGGAGCCAGACCAGGGGACCGTGACAGGGTGATGGAGGGGGGTAGATTTGGCTTCATGCTTCACATAGCAGTCGGGGAGAGTGGCCACCAACAAAGAAGGCTTGGAGCCTTTATGTGAGGTGGGAGGAGTTGGACCGTGGGCGCCAGCCCTACCTCAAGAGAGGCTGCTGAGCATAGAGGATTTCTCACACTGGGACTCTGGGCAAGTCAGTTCTTCTTTATGGCCTCAGTTTTCTTATTGTAGCAATGAAGTGGGGGGCAGGTACTCAAATGATCCATCCTCTGAGGCCTCTTCTGGCACTGGTGGTAGAAGATCCTAGATGTGAAGGCAAAAAGGACTAGGACCTGAAGGCAGCCTAAGAGAAGGTGCTGGGGTTCAGGAGCTTCAGGGTGTTTTGCAGTTCTGTGACTGTCTTGTAATTGGGCAGCAGTTATGACTGAGCTGTCAGCTCCATTTCTGCCCTTTGGTTGGCATCCTTCTCACTTGGGAGGAGAAGACAGACCCCTCTCTAGCTCCTGCCAGAACAGGCAGCAGCAGGGCTGAGAGCCAGAAGGGGATTTCCAAAGGTGGAGAAAATCTCTCGCTCAGGGGGTTGCCAGGCCCTGGGCTTAGAGAAGTAAATTTCTAGAATGCCTGTCAGGACATTCAGGGCTGCCATGGGTGAGGGAAAGAGGGCCCCGCTCATACACAGTAGGAAATAAATTCTGTTTTTCTGGAGGACCATTTGGGAATATCTGGAGAAATCAAAAATGTTCACAGCCCTTGATTCACCTGTAGGATTGAACCCTGTAGGGTACAGAAGTCACTGTATGTACCAGGATGTTTATTATGGCATTGTTGATCATTTCAAAACAAAACTGGAAACAAACAAATGTCCAACAATAGAGAGCTGTGGTGCAGTTATGGTACAGCCTCTCAATGGATTGCAAGGAAGCGGTTCAGAAGAATGGATGGATCTCTGTGTGCTGATGTGGGACAATCATCAAGATATAAGTGAAGGGGCCGGCCCGGTGGCGCAAGTGGTTAGGAGCGCGCACTCCGCTGCGGCGGCCTGGGGTTCGCCGGTTCAGATCCCGGGCGCGCACCGATGCACCGCTTGTCAGGCCATGCTGTGGCGGCATCTCATATAAAGTGGAGGAAGATGGGCAAGGATGTTAGCCCAAGCCCAGTCTTAGCAAAAAGAGGAGGATTAGCAGATGTTAGCTCAGGGCCGATCTTCCTCACACACAGACAAAAAATAGATATAAGTGAAATGGGCAAGGTGCAGGAGTCAGCAAACCGTGGCCCACAGGCCAGGCCTAGTCTTGTTGCCTGTGTTTGTATGGCCTGCAAGCTAAGGATGGTTTTTACATTTTTAAGTGGTTAAAAAGAATCAAAAGAAGAATATTTTGTGACACATAAAATTACACGAAATTCAAATTTCAGTGTCCGTAATGTTTTCTTGGAACACAGCCACACTCATCATTTAAGTACTGCCCATGGCTGCAATCTGGCTACTACAGAGTTGAGTAATTGTGACAAAGCCTAAAATAGCATCTGGCCCTTTATAGAAAAAGTTCACCAACCGCTGGTATAGAGTATGATTCCTTTTGTATGTTCACATATCTGAGTTACTGCCTGCACTTCTTCCTGGAGGTGGTTACCCTTGTGGAGAGATGGGGGCAGGAAGGGAGCCTTGCATTTTTCATTTCGTGTCATTCTGTTCAATTTTAAT